CCATCCCCTGAGCCTGCTTGGTCAGGTATTCTGTGTTGTTGTTGGCGGAGCTCTCTGCTATACGTCCACCTGATCCGCCATCTTGTTTGTTCCTCCGTAATGCCCCTTTTAATGGCTCCACTGTAAATGTCACTGCCTTGAAGGTATTGGCAGTGCGTGGGGTCCTGGGAGCAAATCTTTTTGAGGAACAGGCGATAGCCACCTGGGATGAATGTCAGAACTGCTCTCTATCTAACTATTCAGTTATGTTTGATATTAACTTTTGACTCTATGACTTTTGAGCAGCTAAATCTTTCCCATCCCTTTGCATAATAAACAAAGATAAAGGAAAAAGACATTGAGTAATGAAGATCATGTTATTTTCTGGGGCTTTTAAAGGTATAAGGTTTCTTTTCTTTCCTTCAAAAGGTTGCACACAATAAATTATACTGCAAAATAAAAATGAATTAAGTGAAACTGAGATTTCAGAGAAGAAATAATGGGGCGCCAGTTTCTGTAGAAGGTCTTTAATGGATGATGTTCTGGGACTAGCAATTTGGAAAGAAAAGAAAATCAAATCAAAACCTATTCCATACTAATTGTACAGACCTCATCCTTTTCTTTGCTTTTATATAAGTAATCAGCCAATGTTTTACTTTATATGAAATCTATGTTGTTCTATGTGCCCTAATGTTCTCCAAGTTCTAATTCCTTAAAGGCAAGCAGAAATTAAACAATGTTAATGCTGTTTGCTTTTTCCTATATACTATCTTTCTCCTATCTACTCCTATATAATGTTGTTGTTGTGTGCCATGGAGTCGGTTCCGACTCATAGAAACCCTGTACAGAGTTTCCGAGGCTGTAAATCTTTACGGGAGCAGAAATCCTCATCTTTCTACCATGGAACAGCTGGTAGTTTTGAACTGCTGAACTTGTGGTTCACAGCCCAATTCGTGATGCAAAAATTCCCCTTTTTTCAGTGATTGCTCAAGTGGCTACTGGCAGAAATACTAAAAGATCAGTTAAAAAAAAAAAAACCTTTAATTTTTTTCATTACATATGTAAAGCTCATCTCAAGCTATTTACTGCTCTCATCCTCTAGACTGTTAGAAATTAATTTCATTTTCTTTTCCTTTGGGAAAGTAAAAAAAAGTCATGATCCAAGAAGGAATTGCTGTTCAATTCCCTCTGTGAAATCTTAGCCCATTTAGTTGAAGCTGGGAGTGCAAAACTGAGTTGATTCTAGTCTGGGGAGTCTATGTCTTAGCTCTGCTATGGTGAGCATAGCATAGTGGTTATGGATTGGGCTGCTAACCGCAAGGTCAGCAGTTCGAAACTACCAGCTGTTCTGCTGGACAAAGATGAAGCAGTTCTGCTCTCGTAATGACTCGGAAACCCTGTATAGGGTCACTTTGAGTCAGAACCAATTCCACGGCACACCACCACCACCACTACCATGTTTTGAGGAGTCCTGGTGTGGCTCTGCGGGCTAATGCGTTAGATTGCAAAGTTGTATGAACTGCAAGGTTGGTGGTTCAAGCTCGCCAGCTCCTCCTTGGAAACCCTATACAGGGTCGCTATGGGTCGGCACCGACTCAATGGCACTTCACAACAACAGTCCTGGTGTGGTGCTGTAGGATAAGCACTGGACCACAAGGTGGGTTTGAATCACATGGTCGATGGTTCAGTTCAAATGCTCCTCAGAAGCTCTCTACAGGTCACTCTGAGTTGACTCGATGGCACTTAACAACAACAACACAGATAACTAGAAGGAGCCCTGGTAGTGTGGTAGACTGCTAGCTGCAAGGTCAGCAGTTCTGGTCTACAAGCCACTCCCCAAGAGATAGAGAAGGCTTTCTTCTCCTGTAAAGATTTCCAGTCATGGAAATCCTATACAGACTATGAGTTGTAAAGCCACTTGACAGCACACAGCCACCAGCACAGACAGACCACAACACAGAGAAATGTTGCAGCTTTAAGGGAGCTTAGAAAAGGAAACCTGTGCTTTACCAAGCTTCAAGTAAAGTATTTTGTCTGAGTGGCACTTAGAAGTATCTCCATAAGAAGGCAAAAAGGATAATTTTGGAATGTGAGGCAAAGCAAGGCGTTCCAGGAGTAGAAATATTTTAAATGTTTTCATTTGGCAAAGTTCCATCCAAAGCAGTGGAACCACCCCAACTTCTTGGTCTATAATGATATTGTTGTTGTTAAGTGGTGAAAAGTTATTCTGATAGGAAGCCTTGCTTTTATCTGATTCACAGTTCAATTTTGTATGCTTTTACTCCTCTTTGCTTTTCCTTTTTCTCTAAACGACTATATAATTTCCCCTTCAGTTTCTCTTCAGCTGGTCCTAATATTCAAGAGGTGGTGGTGGCTGTATGCATTAGAGGGAGTTCAACTCAGTGATCCAGGATAGGGTTTCTGAGGCTGTAAGTTATTTACAAGAGGGGAAGCCCTCATGCTTCTCCTGTTGAGCAGCTGGTAGATTTGAACTGCTAACCTTCAGGTTAACAGCCCGACACTATGCCACCAAAGCTCCTTATTCAAGGGGTAAGAGATGAAGAAATTCTAATACTAAAAAGATAACTGTATATTTCAATGTTTTAATAAAAGCGCTAGCTTCCATAATATCGCTTCACCAGAATATGCTCCACCACCCAGGAGAAGAGCCTGCAGGCTAGGGACCACAGTAAATGCCATCGCTTCCCTTGTTCGCTGAGGGATTCTTCCGGGGACTGGTGACTTCAAGGCTGAGACAAACTGCACTATGTGCTAAACGGCAATAGAGACTCCCTCTAAAGGCAAACCTCTAGAGTAATAATAACCTTGAAAAAGACCCTTTGGACACAGATCAATACTCAGGAATCTTGCCTACCATTTACAATTCCCCTTTGACATTTCAGATAAGCCCCCAAGGTGGGGGTTTGTCGGATAAACTGCTGGGAAAATATGCATCTCCTTTTCTCATAGGTCAACCCGGCTGACCTTGGTAGAGCCGCTTCTCCGTCCTTCTGGGGATGCTTCCTCTGTGGCACCTTGACCTGCTCGTCTCTGGGGAATTCTCTATCTGTCCTGGAAGTCTCAGGGGGATGTGGCGGCTTCCTAGCACCGTGGATCTGTCCGAAGACAGAACTATCCCGCGGCTCTCAGAGCCTCCCCCCTCCCCTCGGAACTTTTGGATGATTGCGGGGCTGCGCTAGCCATTAGTGACCATCATTCATTTTTAATCAGTAAGATCACAAGAAGGATGGTAAAAGAAACCCAGTCGCAAATCAATTTAAATAACGTTCCTAAGGAAATCCAATCACTTAAAAATAAGACACCTACGCGAGCGAGAGCCCCCGCCCGTCTGGAGGGAGAAGAGCTCGGATGCCGAATTCATCAAGACCAAGGGGCTCCTGAGGCTCAGCGCGGGGCGTTAACTCTTCCAGCCCCGGAGGGTAACAGGGCGAGGGAGAAAGAGACCGATCGGTCAGGGTCAAGATGTTTAGGACAGCCCCGCGCACGCCGACTCTGCCATCTTGGGCGTCTCCGGACGCCTGGTTCCGGGACGAGGCGGCTGGGCGCGCGGGGTTAAGGTCAGAAACTCCGGAGACTGCTGGGGCTGCTCAGAGCAGCCGCCTCCCGCAGCCTCCGCGCGCCGCGGGCTCCTCCTCCCTCTTGAGCGTGGCCAAGTGAGGGCTGCTTCGGCCGCAGGTAGCTGAGGCGCGGGAGACGGCGCGCGCGGGGCTCAGGCAGAGCGCCGAGGGAGGGGCTGACGAACGCGCAGACAGACGGACCCCTAGGCCCCCGCCCCAGACGTTGGCAGAAGTTTGCGCCAGCCATGTGGGGACCCGGGGTCGCGGCGGAAGGCCTGTTGGTGGCGCCGGCACCGCCGCCGTTGCTGCCGTTGCTGCTCGCGCTGGCACTGGCGTTGGTGGCGCCCTCGCGGGGCGGCGGGGGCTGCGCGGAGCTGGCGTGCGGCGAACGGGAGCGTTGCTGCGACGCGGCCAACGCCACAGCGGTGCGCTGCTGCAAGCTACCGCTGCACGCCTTCCTCGATAACGTGGGCTGGTTCGTCCGCAAGCTCTCAGGGCTGCTCATCCTGCTAGTGCTCTTCGCCATCGGCTACTTCCTGCAGCGCATCATCTGCCCCAGCCCCCGCAGGTACCCGCGCGGCCAGGCGCGACCAGGACAGCCGGGGGGTTCCGGGCCGCCGGGGGCTACGGGGCCACCCGACGACGACGACGACTCGCCCACGCTGCTGCGCGACGAGGCGGCCGCCGGCTCGCAGGACTCGCTGCTAGACAGCGGTAGCGGCCGCCGGGGTCGGGGAGGTGGGGGGCGCCCGACAGCAGCCTGCCCCTCTGAGCACGAGCTGCACGTTGTCTCGCCGGTCTTCATGCAGCTGCCCAGCTACGAGGAGGTCAAGTACCTGCCTACCTATGAGGAGTCCATGCGCCTGCAGCATCTAAGCCCTGGGGAGGTCGTGCTACCTGTATCAGTGCTTGGCCACGCGCAATGTGGCGGCCCTGGGGAAGCCGACGGCAGCGAGGGCCGCTTCCCGCTCATTTGAGCGCCCTGGGCCGTTCCGGGACCACGCGGACCCAGCGATCTGGGGGCAGCTGGTGGGACACACTTGCCGGAGTGGTTTGGATTCAGACTGGCACCCGGCCTTGCCATCTCTCGCTGGGCCGCGGGGTTGGGTCATACTCCACCCCTCACCCGTACTCTCTCTCTGTCTCGGGGTCTTAAGTTTTATCTGTTTCGATTGGTGTAAAGAATGTTCGGCTTGCGCTGCGGGGGCGGCAGCGACTGAGGAGCCTTGAGCGCAACTTGGAGCCCCGCCCTCAGCCTTCAGTCAGAATTAAGTTCACTTGTAAGTGCCTGCTTTCGGAATCAAGCGAACACGTGGGCCCTCTGGGGAGGCTATTGCAGGGCGTTTTCCTTTGGGGAGCAGTTACACTCCCTTCCCTCCTTCCTGGATAGGTCTTGGTCTCCTAGGATGAGTGGAGTGCAAGGAGTCCTGGTTGTGCTGGAGCGGTTTCAGTGACAGTGGCGCGCAATTTCAGAGACAGCAGCTGAGACATCGCTAAATGCCGCGCTTGAAAGTGCTGGAAACCTTCCCTTGCAGGAGAACAAAAATTCTTTCCTTGTCTTCCTGCCCAAGCAAATAGCCACTTGGCTGCGGGGATACCCGGGATATCTGGCTAGTTTAACCTATCCAGGGTACAGAAATTACTGTATATTCAAGACAAGGTACAGTTGGACTATTGTTTTTCAGTTACTGAGGCATTATTTTTATGTCTTTTATTTTTATATTTTTATCATGTATTAAATGCAACAGGAGGCGATTTCAGAAAATTAATGGCAAGATCATCACCGTTTAGATCATTAATGGCTAGCCCACAATGTCATTATTGTTTTAATAAATGTTGGGCGTTATTTCATTAAAACTGAAAAAAAGAGAGAGATGGTCAAAGGAGAAAATATATGACTGAAAACATGAAGGATATCTTATTTTCACTATTTGAGAAGAATATATTTTATTTTTAGTACTGTGACACAATATATAAATTTTGATAATAACTGTATAATGTAGTCTGTCTTGATTTATCATTCATTACATAGGTTGGATGTAAAAATAATTGATGCATATACGCCATACTCTGAAGCATGATGTCATGCACTTTCCATTTTTCGTTTGGTGGTGGTTTTAAAACATAAGAACTTGTGACTTGTAACTTTTGTTTAAAGCTATAATTGTGCAATAATGTGCTACAAAAAGATTCAGTCAACCTATCCTCAAGGGGGGAAAAAATGTCATTGTATCAGTTCTACCATTCTATGAAATATCCAAAACCCAAACCAAACCCACTGTTGTCAAGTTTATTGCGACTCGACTCGGTGACCCCATAGAGTCTTGGTGTAGCCCTGTGGGTTAATGCACACCAAGGTCAGTTTGAACCTCAAGGTCGGTGGTTCAAGCTCACTAGCTGCTCCTCGGAAATCCTATACAGGATCGCTATGAGTCGGAACCCAGTGGTCGGCACTTAGCAACAACAGTGACTCTATAGAGCAGAGTAGAACTGCCCCATAGGGTTTTCAAAGCTGTATATCTTTACAGAGCAGACTGCCACATATTCCTTTTGCTGAACGGCTGGTGGGTTCGGACTGCTGACCTTCTGGTTAGCATTTGAGCACTTAACCACTGTACCACCAGGGCTCTTTCCTTTCAGTAAAATATATAAATATTAATATTAAAATGAATTATGTATAATGTACACATGTGTATTGTCTCTGTACAATATACATAGTTTGTGCCATTACAGTTTATGATTATCATGAAAGAAAAAAATATAAAAAAATTGTTTCTCGGCTTGGGGAAGGGTAAATGTTACGTCAAGAATCACTAACCTTTGGATCTCACACATGTATCTGGAACACACTTATGTTCTAGTGCTTGAAAAGCTAACAGTCCTGAGAAATCTTAAAATAGTTTAATTGTTTTAGAAAAGAATGTGATTACTCTAAAAAGTTGGTTGAAAAAGTCTGACAACCCTGAGAAATCTTAAAATAGCTGAATTGTATTGGAAGAGAATGATTTGACTTAAGTTTCTAAAACTTATGACCCTATCATTAAAGAAAAATCATTTGAAATGTATTAAAACACAAACATTAAAATATGTGTGAAAATTTTATCAGTGTGACTATACAACCATGTATTAAAATATGAAGTATATATCTTTGTCATTTAAAAGATTATTTTAAGTCATGAATTAGCAAAAATAGTAGGAGTTAAGACTGAGCCAAGATTTAATGAAAACACAGTGTATAGAAGAATCCCTTAATGTTGTTTAAATACTGTAATTTTGTGCTACACGTGGTTATCAATACCACCTACAATTCAAACAAATGAAAGTCACCATATTTGTGAAATTATTTATCTTTTGAGAGTACATTATTTTAGACACTTCTTAAAATTCACCCATATCTGAAACACCAAAATTAGTATCCATATAGAATAAGAAACATATTATATATGTTGTTGGTACTAACGACTTAGAGACTATTACAACAAAAATCTGTAAATATATTCTTACAATAGGGATATATGTCATACAAGGAGCATTTCTCTCCCTAAAATCCAGATTATAATGTGGTAGTTCTACTTGATACAGTTCATGCAATGGGGCCCTACTGAATTTTTTTAATTACAACTTTTTCCTTATTTTTTTCCTGCACATAATACAAGTTTTTATTCACATCTCTCAGTTCAATAAAAATGGGTTTCTTTGATTCTTTGGTTCTCTCTTGAATATCATTTGATTTATCAAACAAAATTTTAATGCATAACTTTGTGGAAAGATAATGAAAACAATATTTTTATGATTATAAAATGAAGATATCTGATGGTAATAAACACATGTCTGGTCACCCTAAGTTGAAATGGACTTGATGGCAACTGTCTGTTGTGTTTGTCTGACATCTGATGTCAATAAACACAATGTATGTGTTTAAAAATACCTGACTACTTGGGATAGGTATGTTTTTAAAGTCTCTGAGTCTTTAATTTTACAGATTACACTTGGCAGTTATTCATCACATGACAGAGCACATTATATATACTGCACTTGTTTATTACTGTTGTTGTTGTTGTTAAGTGCTGTCGAGTCAGTTCTGACCCATAACGACCCTGTACAGGGTTTCCGAGGGTGTAAATCTTTACGGGAGTAGAAAGCCTCATCTTTCTCCCGTGGAGCGGCTGGTAGTTTCGAACCGCTGACCTTAAGGTTCACAGCCCGATTCGTAACCACTACGCTACCAGTTTATTACTGTAGGAAATAATTATTCTCTCACCTAAAAATAATTCATGATGAGATGTTATTTTTTAATATTATGGAAGTTTTTCCATGAAACTTTTGGAGCCCTTTTATATACACTTGGAAAACACAGATTTATTTATATATGTTATGATTGATATTTTTTTGCAAAACTACTAAAACATAAATATCTTAACGAAACCCACCAGAGTGTTATATGTTCTCCAGTAACTAAACCTTTCCTCCTGCTTTACAGTTATCAAGGTAATTAACATACTAAAATACTTCAAGCGTATTTCATTTTCACTGACATCTCATGAAAAGGGAAATAATGGTACTAGATATGGGAGAATCCTTCTGTAATATGAAAAATATGATTTGTTTTCTAAATTTATATACACTATATATGGTGGAAGGAGTCCTGGTGTGGCACTGTGGGTTAATGTGCCAGACTGCAAAGCTGTTTGAACTGTAAGGTCAGCAGTTGTAGCTCACCAGCCGCTCCTTGGAAACAATATACAGGGTCGCTATGGGTCGGAATCGACTCAACAGTACGTAACAACAACAAAACAGTATACGGTGGAAGAGCCCTGGTAGTGAAGTGGGTTACATGTTGGGCTGCTAACCATAAGGTCAACAGTTCAAATCTACCAGTAGCTCCATGGAAGAAAGATGAGGCTTTCTGCTCCAGTAAAGATTTATGAACTTGGAAACCCTATACAGGGCCGTTATGAGTCAGAACCAATTCTCTGTGGTAGTGGTGTGTCATCAAGTTGGTTGCGACTTAGCAACCCTGTGTATGGTTTCTGAGGCTGTAAATTTTACAAGAGCAGAAAGCTTCATCTTTGTCCCATGGAGTGGCTGGATAAATCTGAACTGCTGTTCACACTTACGTATACACTAATTATATAATATATATTGTTGCTGTTGTTAGTTGTTGTCAAGTGGTACCAACTCAAAGCGACCTTATGCACAACAAAAAACACTGCACCAACCTCACACTCATTGCTACGCTTGAGCCCATTGCTGCTGCCTGTCCATCTTGTTGCGGGTCTTCCTCTTTTTCTCTTTCTACTTTACCTAGCATGATGCCCTTCTCCAGGGATTGGTCTCTTCTGATATGTCTAAAGTATGAGAGATGAAGTCTGGCCATCCTGGCTTTTAAGGAGCACTCTGGCTGTACTTCTTCCAACACAGATTTGTTCTTTTGGCAGTCCATGGTACTTGTACTATTCTTCTCCGACACCGTAACTCAAATGCATCAATTCTTCTATTGTCTTCCTTATTCATTGTCCAACTTTCATATATACATGGGAGGCTACTGAAAATACCATGGCTTGGGTCAGGCGCACCTAACTCCTCCAACTGACATCTTTGCTCTTGAACACGTTAGAGACCTTGTGCGGCAGATTTGCCTAATGCAAAATGTCATCTGATTTATTGACTGCTGCTTCCATAAGTGTTTATGGTTGATCCAAGCAAAATGAAGTCTTTGACAACTTCAACCATTTCTCCATTTATCATGAGGTTATTTATTAGTCCAGTGATGAGGATTTTTGTTTTCTTTACATTGACGTGCAATCCATATTTAAAGCTGTGGTCTTTGATTTTTATCAGTAAGTATTTTAAGTCCTCTATGCTTTAAGTGGAGTCCTGGTGCGGCACTATGGGTTAATGCACCAGACTGCAAAGCCAGCTCACCAGCTGCTCCTCAGAAACCCTATATAGGGTCTCTATGGGTCAGAACCGACTC